TCGGGGCTGAAGTAGGGGTTGTGGCACGGCAGGGCGCAGTTGGCGATCTGCCCCGTCTTGACGCGGTTGTAGAGCGGGTGCCGCTCGCTGGACACCGACACCATGGGCGCCCGGCACTGGCAGCCCGGCTCGCAGGGCGGTGGCGGCCGCGGCTTGCGCGGGGCCTCGGCCGGCGGGGCGGCGGCGGCGGGGGGCGCCTTGGCGGGGCTGCCGGGCTTGGCGCCGCGGAGCGGGGGCTTGGCGGGCGGCGGGGCGGCCGTGGTGAGGTCCGTGCGGTTGTAGTCCATGCAGAGCGTGTCCGGGCTGCCCTGCTCGGGGAGGCGGTCGCAGCGCATCCTGTCGGGCCAGGCGAAGCCGTACTGGCGCATGAGCGGGGCGCAGCCGGCCTTGGCCCGCTCGCAGACGCTGCGGCAGGGCGGCAGCGGCTTCTTGTAGTCCTCCAGGCAGATGGGGGTGTACATGCTGCAGAGGAAGAAGCGCAGGTCGCTGGAGCACTGGATTTCCACCAGCGGCCAGAACTGGTGCACTTCCAGCCCGGCCTCGTCCTGCGTGTCGTGGTTGAACTGGTTGGGCATGTAGGTGTAGTTGTAGCCGATGCCCTTGCAGAGGGGCACGGTGATCTCCTGGCACGACAGCTCCTTGGCCGAGGAGGAAGAGGAGGACGCGGCGGCGGCGGCCGAGGCGGCGGCGCAGCCGGCGCGCTGCAGCAGGGACAGGGCGGCGAGCAGCGAGGTGATTTCCAACAGGTAACTCCACTCCATGCTCGGCGGCGCGGGGGCGGCGGCCCCGGCTCCTCTCCCGTCCCGCTCAGCAGCCGCGGGGAGCGCGGCGCCACAGCACCCCCGGGCCCCGGCTACCCCTCGGGGGGGCGCAGGGCGGCCCCCTCCGTGCCGCTCGCAGGTGAAGAGGTCTCGCAGCCCCCGCGGGGCTCCGTCGCCCAGCAGGGAAGCGGCCCCGCGGGCAGCCGGTGAGCGGGAGCCGCCGGCGATCCCCCGCTCGACGCCGGAGGAAGAGGATCCGCTCACGGGAGGCCCCTCAGGCGCCGCCGCATCGCTCCTCGCGGGGCCGGGTGCGCAGGGGGTGCCGCCGCTCCTCTCGCCGCTACTCCAGCGCCGGCCGGGCACGGGGCGGCGGCGGTGCAGAAGTTTCGCCGTCAGCCCCGGCGCGGCGAAGATGGCTGAGGCGTCCCGGGGAGCGGGCGGTGCGCCCCGCGGCGCCGGGCTCCCACCGCCCCGTGCGGGCGGGCAGCGGCGGGGCTGGGGTGGCCGGAGCGGCTCCTTCTGCCGCCCGCCCGAGCGCTCGGCTCCGCGGGCAAGCGCCAGCCGAGCGGTGCTCGCCCTGCGCCTCCTCCGGCTGCCGGAGCCCCGGCCGCGGTCGCGCCACCTGAGCCGCGGGTCGAGCGCGGCGGCGCCTCCGCAAGTTCTCGCTCTCCGGCCCCGGCAGTGCCGCTCCGGCCGCCGCGCTCTCATGAATATTTATAGCAAGAGCCGCCTGGCCCCGCCCCCAGCGCCCCGGCCACCAATCAGCCGCGCTCGGGCGGGCGGTGGGGGGGCGGGGCCCAGTGCTCCTTAAGGTGGAGTTGGCGCGGGACCGTGGTGTTGGTGGGCGCTGCTCGGTGCCCTCGGCCACTGGGGAACGTGGCTGTTGTTCGGCGCGGTCCCGGCGCCGGTCTGTGCGGGGATGTGCGGGTCCGCACCGCGGTGCGCGGGCTGCGGTGGCCAGGCACCGACCTGGGCTGTGCAGGGGACTTCTGCCTCTCTGTAAGGGTTCCCCGCTAAGTCACGGTTCCTGTGCAGCAGTTTAAGCGGCGCTCGGGGCTCCCTCGAGAGGGGTTTTCTGTCACATCGCTGGTACCCGCGGGAGTTCGTCACCCGTGTCAGCGCTGTCCCGTGCCGGCTGTCCTGTCCCGCGGGGCTCAGGCTGCCTTTGCACCGCCCGTCGCACGTGTTGGTGGCGGAGGTGGGAGCGCGGCGACGCCGGGAGGGGGCCCGGTGGCACCTTAGCCCGTACCTGTTCGCGCCCCTCGAGCCCAAGAGCATCGCTGCGGATACAGGCACACAGGCGTGCAGTGCGAACGCAGCGCTGGGTGCCCCTGCCCTGCACATCGGGGGGCAGCGAGCGAGCGGTGACACAGGGACCCCCGAGGCGCAGGAGCCGCGGGTCAGGGGGCGCTCGCTGGGCGGGGCAGCTCCTCAAGCGGGATGGGCAACGGCGCTCCGTGTGCGCCCGTGGATTGGCGCCGGGAGCTCCCCGTGGGATGCGCGGAGCAGCCCCGGCAGGTGGACGCTCCCGCCGGGTCCCTGCCGGGGCGGGACGCGGGCACAGCCCAGCAGAGCTGCAGGGGACGCGCTCGGGGCCCGCACCCGGAGAGTGCCCCGCAGCCCAGGGGGAGCCCCGGGAGGCCGGTTCTGGCCCGGCCGCGGCTCCCGCACCAGCCCGGCGCTGCGGCGGTGACTCGCCAAGGAGCCGCCTGCAGCCGCCCATAGCGGCATGACCCGCCATCCCGGCGGCGCAGCCATCTGCTGCTCGGTGTCCATTCAGGCACCCCCGCCCCGCCGCCCTGCGCTCCCGGGGTCCGTGGGGCGGCCCCGGGGGGACTCGGCGCTTTCCCCCGCCCGCAGCGGGGAAGGGGCCGGGCGGGAGTTCCGGCGGCCCCGCCGTGGCCAGACCACCTTAAGGGGCGCGGCGGCGGCGGGCGCGGGCCGAGCGCGGCGGGGCCGTCCCGGGGGGTTGTCGCGCTCCCGGGACGGGGCGTTTGTTTGTTAATTGACGCGGGCGCTCCCGCTGCGGCCGCCGTGATGGAACCGCGGGAACGCTGCAGGGATTGTGTGATCCGCCGGGAGTCAAACCGCGAGAAGCGGGGTTAGGGGGAGGGAGCCCGCCCCGGGGGGGAGGCGGTGCGGGACGCCGGGAGGAAATGGGACGCGTGAGGCCAAACAAGAAACAATCCCGAGTTTGTTGGCTGAGCCAGCAGGCTGCTCTCGCCCGCTCTGGAGCGAAAGCGAGGATTACCTCGTTAGGAGGAAATGGGCGATAATGGGGCAATAAACGCTGTGTCCGCGGTGTGATCCCGGCGGAGATTCCCAAAGCGCCGCTCGGACCTGGCGGCCACCCGAGCTCGGACGGGACAGGGAAGGGCTCAGGGGCCGTGGCCGCGCTCCTCCGCTTCGGAACCGGCCCCACTATTGCACGCAGGATGCTGTTTCTGATCAACATCACAACTTTTCCAAAAGTAGCGAATGGTTGTTTTAGTGCTCATTTATTTAACACCGTACTGAAAAGAGTTAGGAGATCGAACAATGCCCAGTGAGGAAGAGGTCTGGCAGAGGTCTCAGTGGGTGACAGAGGTTCAAAAAGTCTCCAGTCCTGAACGCGATACTTCATTTTTTAAGTGACTGTTTTGCTGGTGGCTGTTCGAAGCGTACCTTATTTAAAAAATCTCTATAGAATCTAAAACTGTGTGAGTCTAGTCAGGAGAGCCGAGCGAGTCTGTAAATTACTGCTCTTGTCAGGATTCCTGTTGCCTATTACAAAGTACCTTTTTACGCTGAACTTAAACTCTACACTACAGAGACAGCAGATGTGAGGTGATGGCTTCCAAAAGCAACACAGATGCTGTAAAATTTCCATTGCTATATTTCAGCGAGGAAGCTCAGGAGACATGCTGAATGCTGCAGTTTAGAATTACACTATAACTCTCCTAGAAATAAGAGAATACCAAGTTTCTCTACAGTACACTTGGCTTCGTTTTTACTGTCATTCATATGCTCTTGTTTTCTTAAAGCGAGAAAAGAAATGCAGCACAAAGATACTGTGTGTCTTGAAGCTGTTCAGTAATGACAGAATTGGTAATATGGAACTTTATGGCAATTTAGGAACGACTGCATATCCAAATTCCCTGGTAAGACCATGATAATTTTTAGAATTGTCTTTCAGGTATATAAAACAGCACAGCTGTGAGGAGGCTGCTTTGCTTTATGTGACTGAAAAGCAGCCTGGATAGCTCAAGACTGTGGAATCACAGCCCATTGTGTGTTCCTCATACTCTGAGACTTCCCTGAAGTCCCTAGAAGTCCTGCGATGAAGGAATCAAGGGTCAAGTCTTTAAAATGGTTTGTCTGTTTATTCCAGAAAATACAGCAGCTGCTGTATTTCTGAAAAGCTGAGCTTTGCTATAGCAATACAGAATACTTTAGAGCACTTTTTTATTCCAAGGATTTCAAAACAGATGTCCAATCATCAAATCATGCAGAAATATAAAGCTGGCAACACTGTTACAGATACTACAACTTTTTACAAACTTACAGATTTGACTTGTTGTCAAATCTAGTCACTTTGTGACTAGTCTTTGTCACTACAAGTCTTTGTTGCCACAGATATTTATGCCTCTTTTATCCAAACATTTAGGTTTGTCACTGGTCCCTCTAATGTAAGCTTAATTTTTGTGTGCATTTGAGGCTGTGCATTTGGGATTATGGGGATCCCACCAAACCAGGTAATGGTAACTACAGGGCATTTTAGTTTGAAATAAGAAAATTGGCTCTTGATTTGTTTTTTAACTGGAAATAAAAATTCCATGTAAAATCTTGGATTTAACATGCTATTTTGTTAATGTAAAAATACAGATGTTTAGTTTGTAAGGTTAAAAATTGCTTTTTAATTCGCACTGAATGTTCTCCAGTAAATTTTAGTGTGGCATTGTCTGCATTGGATAGGTCACTGAATGGTGCTTTTATAAAAATGTTTGAAAAGAAGAATTTGGTCCATGGAAATTGTTCAAATAATCTTGTTAAAATGAAGCCTTGACTGAAGGCAGTAATTTCATGGATTAAACCCAGAAGTGCTGGCTAGGCTGATCTCCTTCCTATCACAGGCCACGGAGCTTTATCCAGAGGCTGTCTACGCAAATGCTGGTTAGCTACAAGACATGGGGGATTTTGCATGGACAATACATTGAACAACACCATGAAACTAGGAACTGTGGAGCTTTTTGAGGAGTTGTTGCATCTCACTGTGTCCAGCTTTCCCCTAAAAAAGTACCAATAAAAAGTAAGAGAAACTGTTTTTTTCAGATCCATCCTTTTCTCTGACATGCCACATGCAGTCAGGATCTGGACAACATGATGGGCCATCCAAGTATGGGAAGGAACTAATTGATTTGTACTTCTGCAAGTCTGCAAAGCAGAAATTATGAGAAAAAAATCCAGCACTGTGGAACTGAAGAGAAATGGGGATGGGAAAGTACAGCGTGCATATATATCTTACAGTTTGATAGATATTTTTCCTTTCACCAAAAAAAAAAAAAGCCACTCATGTCTTCTGAGTCAGCCTGTATTTTTATTGTGATTCATGAGAACTTTTTGTAGACAAGAACAAAGTACTGCTTACACCTTTTCAGGGATGTCAGATCTGATCATGGATGGGCACAGTACCGTGATGCTGCTGTTGGTCAGTGAGGTATGAGAGAGACTTTAGGCAAAAAGGAAATAGGCTGAATACAATTTGCTGCAATAGCAACTGCTGGAGTGCAGTGAGTAGTGATAGATAGAGGAGGAGAGAAACTGCTGGAAGAGGACTTTGCTGTCCCTTTACCATAAAGGACAATGACAAAATGATTGATCAGTGCTGTGGTCTGAGGATTGCTCCAGCAGTGAAGCTGCAGGTTGTGGCCCTGAATGTGGTTGGAGGATATTTTGCTGAACATTGGAGCAGACCATGATTAGACTTCTTCCCGAGGCTGCTTTGGATGCATGAGCATCACTAGAGAAGCAGCATGAGCAGCAGAATAAATGTAAGAAGTCAGTGGGAACAGCAGTTTAGTTTGAGGGCAATAAAAGATGAACTTGTATTGAAGGGCTTTAGCCATGTTCTCCCACACTATGCAGTTGATGATCGGGGCTGCAATGTATTTGCTCTCTCAATGTAACTGCTTCATCTCTTGAGGGCTTTTTCCTTAATATAATTTTTTATTTTTTCCCCCGTTATTTAGCAAGTTGTATTTATAATTCAGCCATGCTACAAACTGTAGTACCTCATGGTGTGATGTTTCACACATGATAAATCATGTGACTTTTGAAAACAAATTGTCTTTAGTTAAACAGTCTGTTGAATCATTGTCACTGTACTTGGAGAATAATAAAAATGTCATGCAGTTAAATTGCTAACCATAATAGGTATGTATGGACATAGTGAGTAGTGTTGTCTTCCTCTGATTATCCAAGTAAACATGAATTTACTTTCTGGCAACTGCCAGAATATTAGGATGTAAATTCACTCTTGAATCTCAGGAATGTTTTGCGAATTCAGGCTGGCAAGGAGAGGTCTGGTCCCTGGGTTTAAGATGAGAGTATAAACACGCACCACTCTCTTCTAAAAGTGAAAGCATGTCCAGGCCTCTGGCATGCCAGTGACTTCTGTGATCATGTTTGCGATTCTCTCTCCATGCTCCATCAAAATCTCATTAATGCTCATAAATGCTGAAATGGCACATTCACTGTTGTTACTCCCAGCGTGGATTGGGAAGTCAATT